CGGCACGAAAAACATGAAATTTTGGCCTAATCTTGCACCTAAATGTCCGATATTCAAATTTCGCAAGTTTCTCAACCTTAGATACCAACTTTCCATAACGGGATTTTCTTTTTATATTTTTATAAATCTCTATTTATTTAGGCTTGTGCAGACCTAAGTAAATGCAGAAATATCTGCAATTTAAAAAAAAGAGGATTTAGGTTGTACACCGATCCAAATCCCGTTATAGAAATTTCATAATTTTCAAAGGCTATCTGGATTCGAAACACCGAAGTTTGTGAAGTTTCAATGGAGGGATTTTGCTTGTGCATCGATCCAAATCTTCCAAATAGAGAATTGGTAACTTTAAATGTTCACCTAAATCCGCTTTTAAAAATGAGTTTTTAGACGGGATTTGGATCAATGTACAATCAAAATTCTGTTTTTTTAATTGCCGCTGTTTTGCCATATTTATTTAAGCCTGCGAAAGCCCAAAGTTCATCTGTTTCCACACACAAAAAATTGCAAACTTTCGAGTATAACGGGCTTTCGCTTTTACACTGGCAAACTTGTACATTTTCAATGTTCATTTGATTCCATGAGCTAACTGAAAACTATCAAGGTTCCATAATTGGATTTGGACCGATGCAGAAACAAAAGCCTGTTCTTATACCGATCTAAATCCGGTTGCAAAAACTCAATAAGTTCATTTGATTGCATACAAAAAATTACAAAATTTCTACAATGCTCGTTGCTTTTTACATCGATCCAAACATCATTATAGAAACTCGCCAACTTTCGGCTTTTGAGCATTTTATCACTGCTTGCCAGCTGCACTTTTTGTTAGTTTTCCCGGTTTTCTCACCTGTGTGCTGGTCCATTGGGCCGAACATGAGTGATAATTAGGGGACGACTCATGTGCGGATGTTCCGGCATGTATCCGCCCCTTAAGGTTATTCCCAAGGAGCCGTCGATTCGCTCAATTGTAACTTCTGTTACTTGGGATGTTACGCAAAGTGAATTTTGCGACGCTGAAAATAAATCGTTACCATTCAATTAATGAGCATCGGGCAAAATGAAGCAGAGTAATGAAAGAATATGAGTAAATGCACGTTTTATTTAGGCAAAAAAAGGCAAAGAATGTGAAAAGCAAAGCAATAAAGTTCCTTCATTTGTAGAACCGTGAGTAGAAATAAAGATAAAATTCGAAACTCGATGCGACTTTTATTAAGCTTCCAGCACGTGGAGAGAGAAATGTCTTCTAAAGAATGCTCACATTTGAAATTTCTAGTTGATTTCATTTGGAAGACCCAATTTTTAAACGGAAAGAGCGCAGTTGCGCAACACTTGCATTTTGAGACCGGTACTTCAGGATTGTGAGGGGGCGCAAAATTCAGGATTGTACGTGACTTTTATCAAAATCTCCTATTCCGTAGGGCCAAGAATTTTTTCAAGGTGGTGAAAATTGCAAATGGCTGCACGGTTTCGTTTGCATGAGTGGGCATTTTAAAGGGAAGAGCGCACTTTAAAACCGTCTGTTATGAGATCCGTAATGAACAACCTGGGAAAATCTAGATTTTCGACAATTTTTCTGAAACTTTCAACATCGACAGCACCGACTATCTTCTGAGCATGATTAACGTTGCAAATTTCTACYTGCCTCAGTTTGCAAGACAATAATTTTTAAAAGTAAGCGCGCAGTTGAGTAAACATATTCCTTAGASACCGATATTTATTAAGCAGGCAAAGCTTTGGATCTCCGGATGTTTTTACGAAATTTAGTGCACATATGGAYCCAAMTGTCTGCTAAACATGGTGTAAACTAAAAATTACTGCCTTCCTAAATCTGCAAGAATCGAATTTTTAAAAAAGRGCGTGCAGTTYTGTAAAARCATTGCATGTCGWCAGCCGCATTGACTTGGAAAAACTCGACATTTTAGGCGATTTTTTATGAAACTTTCTKCMTCGSCAAAACCAAATGTCTTCTAAACATGATAAACATTTCCAATTATTGCCYGTCTAAGTTTGCAATATACAAGCTTTTAAATCCGAGAGCGCACTTGAGTAGAAGCATCCCTTATGAGACCCATAKTTACTAAGCTGGAATATACAAGAGTTGGAAAATATTCTATGCCTTCTACATAACTGTAGCTTACCATAACTGGGCAAAGAGTACTCCACTTCCATTACAGTGTTGCCCTCGATGCTGTCTAAGATACTGGTGACCTCATCAGGTCGCATTCGCGTTGTTGATATGCCATTAACGCTCAGCACTCTGTCGCAAGGCGTTAGCTGATCAGAATTCTGAGCGGCCCCGCCCGGTCGCAGTGCCGCTATGGTTGGACAGGGATCAGCGTCCGATATTCCTGGAAAAGAATCAGCGTTCTGAAGCTAATTTTCAGCAAAAGAGCATCACAAAGTTTTCTATAAAACCCATGATTTTCTTCATAGTGCCCTAAAGAACACCAATGTAATCCCGGAAAGCCCGATATCAAGCCCCTTAATATAAGCATAGTATATCTAGGTAGGAATAAAATATATCAGACAAATCACGTTTTATTCGGTTCCAGCTTCCGTTTCATATATGGGAAATAAAGTCGTCTTTGTCGCTGGCAGCCGACTGACCCGTATGCAAAATGACCGCATAAATCCGTATCAGAAAACGATATAGCTAAAACGCAATTGTTTCTCGGAGATAAATCAATTCAATTCAGTATCGGAATTGGCTTCCATTGCAAGATATGTTGCAGTGGATATCCGGCGAGCCCGGAATTCTTTTCGGTGCTTGACTTGCCGGAAGAATGCATCCGTGCAAGAAAAAATTCAAATATTTCATGGAATCATTTTGATTGCTCTATTTGCCGCCGATGGGAGTTTAACGGTGAAACATTAAATGTTTGCTTTTGAGCTTCGTGTTTCGATGAAAATGAAAATTTCTATTTGAATATGTGCAAACTTTCTCTAATTGGTTTAGGCAACTACTCTCCGTATTGAGTTTCTGTTGTTGCATGTAGAAATAGTGAACATTTGTAGCGTCTAGTAAAATGATGAGAAAATCTCTTTCCCATCTTTAGATTCACTCAACATGATTTGATGGACCCGCACTCATTTCCAGCTTCCATGCAACTTAAATTGATGTAGTTCTTGGCTTTAAGCAAATCAAATTAGATCTATTAGATACATTCTGGATTTTCCGCCATCTAAGCCTTTAAAGGGCTCAAGCCCATTTATTATTTTCCATTGAATGACAGACCGATTTCCTTGAAAAATTCTGGGCTTTTCCAGTCCCGAAAGTCCAATTGGCTGTAAGAAATCCGGAAGATTTCCGGCCATTTATAGGATTGTTCCCTAGGAGGAGGCGACCTCACAACGTCGAATACGTTTCCATCAGAGCAGCAAAATTGTACTTTATAGGCCATTTGATTAGTGTCCAGACAGCAAAGAAAAAAAATTATCTAAATTGCCCAAAAATGGTGGATTTCTATATTTTATTGTAGTTAAATGCTTAGTTTTTGAAAAAAATATACCCACAAAGTGTTCTGAACTTGAGATTCTAAAGCTTAGGCAAATTTTCGATGTGGAGCTGCTGTAGTTTCAAAGGCCAAATTTTGTTAAAGTAAGAGGGCGGTTGCGAAAAAAAATCTAGAAACCCGTACTTATTAAACACGTGAAGGTCGGGATCATAGACCATTTTTTTTAACTTTCTTTAGTTCACAGATCCAAATATATCCTGAAAGTGGTGGAAATTTGAAGGTAATGTCTGCCTTAATTTGCAAGATATGAAAGGCGCGGGCGCAGTATAGAAAAAGCAATGCTTATGGACACTGATATTTACTAAGCAGGAAAAATTCAGAATTTTCTGCAACTTTTATAAATATCTCCCAATCTGTAGAGCCGAGTATTTACTAAAGATGGTGACAATTTCAAATTACTACCTCTTCTACTTTGCAAGATTCACATTTTTATCCGATAGGACGCAATTTAGTAAGAACGTCCACTATGAGAACGACGTTTACTGAGCTGGAAAAATTGCGAATTGCCGGAAATGTAAATGAAACTTGCAGTATCCATAGAGGAAAGCATCTTCTAACGACTAAGAAATTTTAAATTTGTTAGTTCATTTTGCCTGGAAGATACGAATTTTTAAATTAAAGAGCGCAGCTGCTCCAAAACTCCAATTTTGCCCAAAAAATGCTCAAAACACAAGACATTTTCCATTTATAGCTCCACAGGGCTTCTGAAAATGTTGAAAATTTTGCATTACTGCCTGCTCTAGTTTGCAACGTACCAATTTTTAAAAGGCAGAGCGCAGTTTAGTAGAATCACTCATATTGAGACCGTCACTTACTAAGCTTGAAAAAATCCAAA